CGAGGCCATGCCCTGCGGAGGGGTTTGCTGCTGTGCCAGCACGTGGAGTTTGGTCTGAGATGCCATCACAGGGTCAGCTGGCTGTTTTTTCTTTTAATAAAGCCCCACAGAAATTATTCATTTCACTGGACTTCTCCTTTGAAGGTGATCCTCTACAGTGGTCATCCTTTGAAAAGCCAGATTTTGTCCTCACACCCCAGTGGGAGGCAGAGGTAGTGATGGCTTTTACATGGCATGTGGATAGCAGTAAGCAAATTCACTTGAACTTGCTTGGCTGGGTGTTTCATGGTTCCACAGCCAACTGCCTCCCTGCAGAATAAGCTCTGTATCAAATGATGACGCACATTTTTCTTACCCTGAAATTCAGCAGAACCTTCTTCCTGATTGAGCAAATGTGTTGGTATGTTGCAGTACGGGCTCTCTCCTGGAGGAGAGATGTAAGCAGGAAGGATGTTGGTTTAATTTAATTTCCCCAGGGTTATATATCTTAAAGAGAGCAAGCACACAAAAAACAGATGCAGATAGAAGGTTAAATTATGTTCTTATTTATGAAGGGGTAAATGTACAGTAATCCTGCTGATAACAGGGTTGTGCTAGAGTGAAAGGAAGATTGCTGGAGAGCAACCTGACACAGGAAAGTAAACAAGAGGGTTCTGAAGAGGAAAAAACCTGTTTCTCACATGGTTCTCTCACCTTTTTCTCTTCCAAGCCTTTCCCCGGGCTAAATTCTGCTCCAGATTTCTGTGTAAAGTCTGTGCATCAGGAGCTCAAACTAGCCAGAGCCCAAAAGCAGAACTGGTCCCCCTTTCCTCTCAGCAGCCACACCAAACTAGGGCTCAGTTTTCTTAGTACACAGCTTAACAAATCAGAGAAAACTCCAGTCTCCTGGGAGAAATATTTTTGGGGAAAAAAGGCTTCCAAAGAAATCTCCCTCTGCCCACAGTGCCTGTGCGGGCTGTACCTTTCCCTCTGGTTTCTCATTTCAGTCCTGTGACTTTTAGCTGCTTCCAGGGCTGAACAAGCTCCTCACCTTCCTCCCCAGTGCTACCGCCATGGAGGCTGGACCCTGAGTCTGTTTTCCACAGTCAGGGAGCACCCTGGCCCCCGGAGCAGCCTCCCAGCCCATACTCCCCCAGCAGCTCCCCATTTGCTCCAGGACCCAAGTTGATGTCAACGGTTTGCATTCACTCTCCTGTACCTGAGAGCAGAATCTGGCCCATGAAGACCTTGAAGATGAATTTCTGGAGAACAGCCAGCTGTCT